GCCTCTTCCCCTGGCCGTTTTCACTGGGATTTCTTCTTTCTCTCCTTACCTGTCTCAAAAGGTTTGACTGTACGTACCGAAGTGGGGATCGACGGCGCATAAAGATGCTGAAGGGTGTTTGGTTGCTCAGTTTGTTAACAGTGGCTGGGATCTCGCAGACGGAGAGTCGCAAACCTGCCAAAGACATTTGCAGCAAGAGCCGCTGCCCGTGCGAGGAGAAGGAGAACGTGCTGAACATTAATTGTGAAAACAAAGGATTTACAACCGTCAGCCTCCTCCTGCCACCCCCGTCCAAGATCTACCAGCTGTTTCTCAATGGGAACGCGCTGACCCGCCTGTTCCCCAATGAGTTCGTCAACTACTCCAATGCCGTGACCCTCCACTTGGGCAACAACGACATGCAGGAGATCCGCACAGGGGCCTTCAGCGGCCTCCGCACCCTCAAGAGGCTGCACCTCAATAACAACAAGCTGGAAGTGCTGAAGGAGGACACGTTCCTGGGCTTGGAGAGTCTGGAGTACCTGCAGGCTGATTACAATTACATCAGTGCCATTGAGGCGGGTGCCTTCAGTAAGCTAAACAAGCTCAAGGTGCTGATTCTCAACGACAACCTTCTGCTGTCCCTGCCCAGCAATGTCTTCCGCTTCGTGCTCCTCACTCACCTGGACCTGCGGGGGAACCGGCTGAAGATGATGCCTTTTGCTGGTGTGCTGGAGCACATTGGAGGCATCATGGAAATCCAGCTGGAGGAAAACCCTTGGAACTGCACCTGCGACTTGCTGCCACTCAAGGCCTGGCTAGACACCATCACCGTGTTTGTGGGCGAGATAGTCTGTGAAACCCCCTTCAGACTTCATGGGAAAGATGTGACCCAGCTCACCAGGCAAGATCTCTGCCCTAGGAAAAGCTCCAGTGATTCGAACCAGAGGGAAAAACACCCTGTCCTCTCAGACCCCCACATCTCAAAGCTGTTGCCCACAGCCAACTCTGCCATCAATCCCACCAGAGCCCCAAAACCCAGCCGGCCACCCAAAACCAGGAACCGCCCCACACCCCGTGTCACTGTGTCAAAAGACAGGCAAATATTCGGACCTATCATGGTTTACCAGACAAAGTCTCCTGTGCCCATCACCTGCCCAGCTGGCTGCATCTGTACTTCACAGAGCTCGGACAACGGCTTAAACGTGAACTGCCAAGAGAAAAGGATAAGTAACATCTCCGATCTCAATCCTAGGCCGACCAGTCCAAAGAAACTTTACCTTACCAGTAACTATCTGCAAGTCATTTACAGAACCGATCTCGTAGAGTACAGCTCTTTGGACTTGTTACATCTGGGAAATAACAGAATTGCAGTGATACAAGAAGGTGCCTTTACAAACCTCACAAGTTTACGTAGACTTTATCTTAATGGCAATTACCTTGAGGTTCTCTACCCATCTATGTTCGTCGGGCTGCACAGCCTGCAATATCTCTACCTAGAGTACAACGTCATTAAGGAGATACAGCCACACACCTTTGGTGCTCTGAATAATCTTCATCTGTTATTTCTCAATAACAACCTGCTCAGATCCTTGCCTGACAACGTCTTTCGCGGCACATCCCTCACCCGACTCAACCTTAGAAACAATCATTTTTCACACCTGCCTGTGAGAGGAGTCTTGGACCAGCTCTCGGCTCTAATTCAGATAGACCTCCAGGAGAACCCTTGGGACTGCACGTGTGACATCCTGGGGCTGAGGAACTGGATAGAGCAAGTCACTGACCAGAACAACCATCAGTCAAGTCCCCCTGTAGTTATCAACGAAGTCATATGCGAGTCTCCCACCAAGCACTCTGGAGAGCATCTGAAATTCCTGAGCAAAGAAGCCATCTGCCCAGAGAACCCCAACCTGTCAGATTCTTCTCTCCTCTCCATGAACCAGAACACAGATACCCCCCACCTCCTTGGTGTCTCACCCAGCATCTACCCAGAAATACACACGGAAGTTCCGCTGTCTGTATTGATTTTAGGCTTGCTGGTTGTGTTTATCCTGTCAGTCTGTTTTGGGGCAGGCCTGTTTGTCTTTGTCCTTAAGCGCCGGAAGGGCGTGCAAAGCATGCCCAGCAGTACAAACAACTTAGATATAAGTTCATTTCAGCTCCAGTATGGGTCTTACAACACTGAGACCCACGATAAAACTGAAGGTCATGTTTATAACTACATTCCCCCTCCTGTTGGACAGATGTGCCAAAACCCAATCTACATGCAAAAGGAAGGGGATCCAGTTGCCTATTACAGGAATCTCCATGAGTTTAGCTATAGCAATCTCGACCACAAAAAGGAAGACCCCACCAGTCTTGCATTTACAATCAGTGCAGCTGACTTACTGGAAAAGCAATCCTCACCAAGGGAACCAGAGCTTCTGTATCAAAATATTGCAGAAAGGGTCAAGGAACTCCCCACCGGAGGATTGGTTCATTATAACTTTTGCACCTTACCCAAAAGGCAGTTTGCCCCTTCATATGAGTCAAGACGCCAAAATCAGGACAGGATAAATAAAACTGTTTTATATGGAACTCCCAGGAAATATTTTGCAGAACAGTCTAAACCCGAGCATCCTTTACTCCAAGGAAAGCTACAAACAGAACCAGACTACCTCGAAGTTCTGGAAAAACAAACTGCAATCAGTCAGCTGTGAGGGAGGGGGGGAGGTGGGAGGCAAAGGAAAATTTTAAAATGAGCTCAGAGTCACGTTTGATGGAGTCTGAACTCAGTGCTGATGTCATCTGCCGCATTCCCAACATTTCCACTTTTTAAATTAGAGAGTGAGAGAGAAATGGAACTCTTAAAGCATAGCAGGGATAGAGAGTTGCTTTTGCAATGTTCCCTTTAAGTTATTTCTATATCTCTCTGCTTTTGACCCTTCTGTAGGAACTGTCACTGCAAATGTATCTTTCTGTAATAGATCTTGCATAATTCTTTTTGATTTAGAAGGAAATGAGGAAGGGGGTCTTTGTGTTTTCTGTTGGTTTGGTTTGGTTTTTTTTCTTTTCATTTCAAAGTGGAAACTTAATGTGTTATGTAGAAGATCTCCAAAGATCTTTTTTCCTGGACTATGACTTTCTTTTGTAAATAATAATATACGGTACTGCTGTTTCAATTACCATGTATAGCCACTGGGCGTCACTTTTTTGTGTTAAAGTGCCTTTGCACTTTAAGTACATTATGACTTAATTGTTGCTCTTAGCTTTGATAAATTGAACCTATTTTAATGTGTTGTATTTTTGAAATTAAAAAAAAAATTGTAAAATAGATCTATATGTCAGCTGCATTAAATCAGAAGGTTTGATATATAGGAAAGCTGCCCTTTAAATTAATCTAGTTCTAGGACCTTACAGACTCAAATGTAAATTATTGGGGTATTTTTTTCCCTCTAGGTTTGTTTAGAGTGATTCACTGAAATCAACTGAGAGGATTTAGTAATGGAGTAGAGGTTATCAAATGCCTCAGCTGGGAGTAACAGCTCATTAATAAAAGATGTTTAACTCAATATCATAGTGAACTGAACAATTAATGTCCTTCTTAATACATCGCATTGCAGCTCTAACACAGTAATGTTCAGTGGTGTAAGGTTACTTTCATACTTAAGAGAAAATTACTCATAAGATTTTATACACTAAATTAGGTATTTTTATACATTTTATGGCAGAGTTTAGATTTGTAACTTTTTTGGACTGAAATTAGCATGTCCTTTTCCTGACAGATACATATTTTTTCGTATAAGTGGGGACACCAGCAGGGGTCATCCCACACCTCATTAAATTTATTATCATACAGGCAAATGAACCAATGCCAAAGGTAAAATTTGAACCTGTGTCTATGGTGTTCTCCAGATCAAGGTAGCAGAAATTAGTGTGTGCATCACACTAACTTTCAGTAGCCTAAATTATGTCAAGTTTTCAGTCTCTAAAGCAAAAGTGATATTGCAATAATGCTAATCTACTGGAGAAAACTACTATTAACTTCATTATCTGAAATACTATAAAATGTTTCAAGCTAACTGAATTCAATTCTCGACATTGGTTTCCTTAAGCCCATCAATGAGCCAACACAGTAAGTCTTCTCCTTTCCCATAAACTCAGGCCTCTTTTAGTCCAAGCTTTACGTTATCACCTTCAATTTACATTTCCTTCCTGGAGAATATTGAAACCATTTTTATTAACAAGCATACAGTCAAACTTTATTAAGCCTTATTAGCTTTTAAATAATTTTTAGATGCAAACATTATTGTGTGATTTAAACAAACAGCCCTTATTTAAAACAAAAACAGTTTTGTTTTGTCTATTGTAAATCCTTATGCAACTGGGATGGTGATCTGCATATAAAGTAGGCCAGGCTTTTCAATTCCTTATTAAAGCAATTGATGGAGTCTGAAAGAAGCACACTGTTTCCTTTTCATAAATAGGTTACTGCACATAATAATCCTTTATTATCATGTGGAGGTTGAAGTGGCCTCTGCTGACTGATTTTTAGAGCTTTACTATGCTTAATAATACAGTATCCACAACTTTGAGAAATTTTCAGCAATAGCATTTGAGCTATAAATAACTACAATCGATGTTGTTCTAATCAGGACTTTGCCAAAAGGAAGTTGCTTTATATTTAAGAGCTAAAGAGGCTTTGCATGTGTATTGCCAGATATCTGACTCATTCAGTAAACCATCTTCTAATGATTTATGTGACATCTGAGTACATTAATATGCTAACATGTCAATTCTTTATGTTTAGAGTCCATAGCGTCTATGGCCATTCATTATATCAGGTTTTAAACTGAAGTGCTGCAATGAACTACCGAAGAATCAGTCTTCAAAATGGTCTCACTTCAAGAAGGAGGCGAAATGGTATCACATTAGTTGAACTTGGAACATTTGACTGGAAAAGCATCCATCTTTGAGTGAGGTACTGGTTTGAAAGCTTCCAGTAGCGCCTGTCTTATTATGGCTCCTCTCTCTGGCTAATTAAAAGCGTTTATTACTGAAACACTAAGAAATTAGAGGTATTATTTTTAAGTAAATTTATTAACCCTTTCCAGGTATGATTTTTGTATTGCCTGCAAAACAAGTACCATGTTATATCTGGCAATCTAGCAGCTAGGATATTATTGTTTATTATTCTCTAGTGAACCAGAACCAATTACAGGATTTATTCTCAGAAAAATGCTAATTGTTTGTACTAAAATGTTTTCCATTTTCAAGTGTTTGCAAGTAGCAAAGAAAGCAAATTTATTCTTTTGGTAACTTTATCTTGTTTTCCACTCTCAGACTGTCTTCACATGTTTGCTTTGGTAGCCCAGCCATATTTTACAGAGGCTGCTGTAGCTTTACGTTTCCTTAGCTTTCCTAATGGAATTTATTTAGCGACTATATTTTATTTTGCATCACCAGTACCAACTTAAAAGTCATTATTGCTGTAGATCTTTTAGGTTTGTTTTTATACCCTTTAGCTGACATCTATTAAGCAATTCTTTTCATAGTGTGTCTAGGTGAGAGAGAAGGAGATTTTTTCCAGTTACACTTAAAGAGATTTGTTTAACAGGGAAAGTGTGTCGGCTGTGCTGTGTAGAAGGTCTCTACGTCTCTTTAGCTGTGCAGCCCTGGCAGCTGCTGCTTGTTAGGGGAGAGCTGCTTGCCTGGGTAATGGCTAAAAAAAATTTCCTACATACTTTGAAAAGTTGAACAGTGAAAATTATGTAACCAGGTTAGCAAAATGGTTTTTTCCTCAGGAAAATGGGATGCAAATAGTTTTCTTTCTTCCTAAGTTTTCTTTTGTGAAGGTGGACTAAATGACCTTTACAGAAACAGTAACAGTCCAGACTGTTAAAACTATTCGGTTATCTCCTGTCCAAATGAGGGCACTACACTTCCCATGCAACACATTTTTTAATAGATCTTTCTGTGTAAGCTCAAAGTAGCAATGATCTTAGAAACTGGATTTCAATAGGGAACTTCAGTGGCAAAATGGAAAGAGATGTTAACTTTACACTACTGTGCCCAGATTGCCCTACAGTTCCTAGGCAGATATCTACCTCCTGGGATGATGCTGTGGCTTTGCTTGCAACACAACATGCCCGAGGATGACAGGTTAATCGTCTTCCCTTTTTCTCCCTACAAAACAAACGTCATGTTTTGCAAAAGGGTCCATGCTTTTTATCTGGATTCTCAAGTCTGCCGCAGAGCCACCCCAAGTGCCTGCTGGTAGTCCTCCTATCTGTAGTCTCTCTCTTCCATCAGATTTCATCCTTTTGGGTTCCAACATTTGCTTAGTCCCCACCTCACCTCCATTATCTGCTTCCCAAGCCTCAACTTTTCCCCTCATACCTGTCCCCCTGGGATCTCATTTTTTTCCCTTGCTAGCTCTGGAGGACCTATTTCAGCCTTGAAGGGAGTGGATGTCCCCGCTCAACTGAGAGCTCAGCCCTTCTCCCCTGACATTGCTGAATAGCCCCATGTGAAACGAGTCACCTGATGCCAGTGGTATTCCTGAGGTATGTCAGAGGAAGGTCTGCATAGCTGCTTCCTCTTCCACTCACTGAGCAGAGGAGAGAATGGTAAGATCAAATAGCATTTCAGCTTCCACGCAGGATTTCCCATGTGCCAACCCTGGCTATGCAAGTAGCATTTCTGAGTAAGAATAAATGGATGAGCTATCTGAAACTGCTGGCATCACATCAGACTTTGCTGTAATTTCAGCGAGTTGTCTTCAGCATGGGTTAATCTTGGCAAAATTAGCTACTAAAATTTAAGACCTAAACTGGTTTTGTAGGGTCTGTAAAGTAAATAGCAAAAAAAAAAAAAAAAAAACCCCAAACCCAGACCATTCGAAGGTGATTTATTTTCTCCCAAAATATATGTCAAGGGTTGGGCTACAAATATGCCTGCTTTTTTCCCAGTAGCTGTAGATTGGATAGATGATGATCACTGATGAGATAACTAATTCCCGCATAGCTGAAGTCAGCCAAGCCTGACCATTTTCTAGCACAGCCACAGGTAACATACAGGCTCTGCCGAGTATCTGTCAGTCTCTACCCCAAGACATTTCCATTCTGTCCATGAGGGAAATGTTCCCGGTGGTGTTTATAGCCTCTTTCAATCAAACGCTTTTTGTATCACCACCTTGTGCTGATAGAGAACAATACAGGGGGGTTTAGTGTGGTTTTCTTTTTCTTCCCATTAACACTTTAGTTTGTAAAATAAAAATCAAACTTTTTAAAGTTAGAAGCTGTAATTAGTAGTGTCAGCATCAGGATACCAACAAGTTAAATTGCCTAAATGAAAGTCTTAAAGAATACTCGTCTTGTATAGGAATACAAATGCCATAATTTTAAACTGCTCATGAGTGAAATAAGATACTGGAAATGTTAATGAAACTTCATAGGCTCTTACAGGCTAATCATGGACACAGTTTGTGATTTTTCGTATTACTGTTTTTGCAGACAGTAAATGTCATTTAGTAGAGAGGGAAGAAAAAACCCCTATATCACAAAGTCCCTCCCCCAGCTGAATAGCTCCAAACCTACAGATAAATTAACTTCTGCAGATGATGTGACATTTCTTGTTTCTCCCTCCACTTTTTCAAAGTGTTCTGTAGGGGAAGTACAAAAGTTATCCTTTTCTAAGAAGATCATTAAGTCTGTTTGGATTATTGATCTCATAGCTTTTCTGGGCAGAAGGCCAATCATTTTGACTAAGGTTTTTAATCCTAGCTAATGAGGGAGGTGGATTAATGAAAAGTTTTTTTGTTGGGTTTTTTTGTTATTGGAGGCTTGGTTGGATTTTTTTGAACCAGTGGATTGACATGTTTATGAACAGATGAATAGATAATTTTGAATGAAAGAAATGTTGGAGCTGCAGAAATGCAGTCATTCTAAAGACCAAATAGACGGAAGCATATGAGTGAAGTTTTAAAAATAAGACATCATAAAACTGGTTTTCTTCCTGAGATCGTAAACACAGAGGGCCCTCATTTGAGTACAGCAGCAGCTTTTTTTACGTGCTGTTAAACATTTGCAAGGATGAAAATAGAGACCAGATGCACCTCCATTATCTTTAAGGATGCTCAGGTAACCGAAGTGTCCAGGATTTGGTTCTCATCTCTGATTGTTACCATCTTTGTGCATGCATCTGTTTTACCACTGGTAATGTGTTAGGCTTGAAAAAGTAATCAAGGTGAAGTTTAGAAGAACAGAGCTAGTATTTCTGAATCTTTCTTACTGCTAATTTAAAAAGGACAATGAATTAACCATTTGTGTAATTAACACC